TTTTTAATCACTTAATTTGTCAAAAAGTAAAAGTTATATATTCGATTCGTTCAATTATTTTATTTTTTTCACTTACTTGATTGAGCCCATCTAAAAAATGTATTAGAAAGCGAAAAAAAGAAAAATTCATAACTAATAGTTTAACTATAACTCATTTCAAAACTAAGATAAAATGTTTAAAACTTCAAAAATCAGATATATTTATTAAATTTTATTTCTGAAATAATTAATTAAAAATATATTTTATAAATTAAATATAAGGTCACAATTTTATACAATCTATTCGCAAATTATTGCAAATAATTTTTCGGTTACAATTAAAATTTTTATAGATTACAAATTATTTTATAGTCACAAACTTATCAAATTAACATGTCACATATTATTTATTGGTCACAAATAATAAATTTTATAAGTCACGACTTATTTTATGATACAAAATATNAGATATATTTATTAAATTTTATTTCTGGAATAATTAATTAAAAATATATTTTATAAACTAAATATAAGGTCACAATTTTATACAATCTGTTCACAAATTATTGCAAATAAATTTTCGGTTACAATTAAAATTTTTATAGATTACGAATTATTTTAAAGTCACAAACTTATCAAATTAACATGTCCCATATTATTTATTGGCCACAAATAATAAATTTTATAAGTCACTAGTCACATTATTTTATGGTACAAAATATTAAATTTTTAGATCACACATCATTTCAAAACTAAGATAAAATGTTTAAAACTTCAAAAATTAGATATATTTATTAAATTTTATTTCTGAAATAATTAATTAAAAATATATTTTATAAATTAAATATAAGGTCACAATTTTATACAATCTGTTCGCAAATTATTGTAAATAATTTTTCGGTTACAATTAAAATTTTTATAGATTACAAATTATTTTATAGTCACAAACTTATCAAATTAACATGTCACATATTATTTATTGTCACAAATAATAAATTTTATAAGTCACGACTTATTTTATGGTACAAAATATTAAATTAATTGGCCACAAATTTTGTTTATGTCACAAAATATCAAATTATTGGTTTGAAATTAACAAATTTTTAGATCACACATTGTTTATTGGTCACAATCTATCTATTTCACTAGTCACATATTGTTTATTGGTCACAATCAACCAAATTATTTGTAACTATCACCAACGCTTATAAAAAACAACCTTACCACTACCACCAACCGCATCTTCGTAGAAACCACCATCTCCAAAACCACCACCTCCCATCAACAAAACCATCATCTCAAACACCGTAGCCAACATCACCACCACCATCCACCCAAAACCACCACACCACGATGCCCACTACCACCACCCAAACACCACAAAAAAA